TCGCGGAGATCGCCACCAGCTTCTATTGAGTACAATTGCTGGGCTGGTTACGGGTTGATTTTTTTTGAAACTTTTCAGCTGCATGCTTCATGTTGGACGTGAAGAGTGCTCACAAATAATACATTGGCTAAGAAGTGGTTTCTGAAGGCCTAGACAACTAATGATCTAATATTGCTAGGAATCTCAAATGCTACACGGGGACCTCTGAAGTCAAAACAGGGCACTGGGTTGATTTGATGCTAGGAAGTGACTGAAAGGAGAGGACTTGGTGCCAATTCTGTTGTGAAATTCATGGTTGCACGTATGTACCAATAGCACTGCGAAAAACAGAGGTCCCTTTTTCTGGGCTGAACATAATGTGCGGTAAACAGAATTTGCGTCTACGCATACGGTACACCACAATCTCCTATCATACGCCAAGAAGAGAAAACAAAGCCAAACTAAAAACAAGGATAGTATACACTTATACAGTAAAAGATAAGGAGAATGTGAAAAATGATTTAATGCTCCAGCACTGTAGGCCAAATCTCTGTCCAGCCATCCCTCACTCCCAAGGCCAGCTGGCAACAGCGTCACCCCCAAGGCCAGTCGGGACCGATGTCATTGCTGCCGGTATCGTCGTCAGCGCCGCGGCATTATTAGCAAAAACGTTACCGGCAAAACCACGACTAGCAAAACCACCGGCAAATACATTACCGGGGAAAATGTTTCTCCCAGACCCAGCAGCCGCCATCACAACCCTCTCTAACTCCACCACTCGTCGCTCCAATGCATCTACATACCCCACTGCTCTATCCAGCATAGCACACGTGTCCCCTCGCCCCCTAACCTTCGCCCTCAGCCTCTGCAGCCCCTCGCTGATCCTCTCCCTCCTCCGCCGCTCCGCCATGCTCCGGCTCTTAATCCTCTGGTTTGGCGCCGAACCTGTCCTGACGCCCTGGCACCGAGGCATCCACTCGTCGTCCGTGCCACAGTCGTCTTGCATCGCCCTGCGCTCGCGGCCCTTGGGATTATCCAGGCCATCGTTGCACCAGTCAGGCTCCTGTGTAAGAACCGCTACTGCAAGGCGCTCGTCAGATTGACCCATGCCATCCATGCCTCCCATGCCCTCCATGCCTCCCATGCCCTCCATGCCTCCCATGCCCTCCGTAACCTCTACGCCCTCTTCCCCACCCACTTGCCCACTGCTGCTGGTCGCTGCACCGCCTGCCGAGGCTGCACCACCCGTGCCTGTGCCAGCCGAGCCTGCACCACCCGTGCCTGTGCCTGCCGAGCCTGCACTGCCTCGAAAACGCTGATTCCTGGCCTCCGGTGATAGCAGGTGCTGGGCTGTTTGCTCACACCTCTGCTGCTGCTGCTCCTGCTGCAGTGGCTGCTGCTGCAGACCCTGCTGCAGCTGCTGGCGCTGGTACAGGAGGTGCATGTGCTGCCTTGCCGTCACCGCCATGCTGCTATGAAGAGGAGACCAAGCGAGATGTGCTGGTGCTGGTCCTGCCCCTACTGGCGCTGCCCGCACAGGAACTTCGTCTGCAGCTGCTTGGGCCTTGCAGTGCAAGCCTTCCCGCACACCACTCCGGCTCGCATGCCCGAGCAAACTGCCGTGGTGCCACTGGAGAGCGGCTGCAGCACAGCCAGTGGGGGCTTCGGGACTTCCCCTCTTCCTCCCAATGTCACCAGCGTTCGGACCCGCTACGTTCACAGCAGCGCCGCTGAAAATTCCACTGTTGATGGCAAGCGCCCGCATCGTGTTGAAGTGAATATCGTTACTCACACCACTGCCGCGGTTAATGCCAGCACCACGCAGTGGAAACTCGGGGTTGCTGCCGATACCACTGCCGATACCACTGCCGATACCACTGCCGCCACCACTGCTGCCACCTGCACCACTAGCCAATTGCAGAGCGCCATCTAGACAGTATTTGGGAGCATAGGAAGATGCAAGGGCGGCCTCCATTCGCTTAACAGATGCTGAGAGCCTATGCTGCTCGCCCCATCCTTCGTGCTCCTCCTCCTGCTGCTGCTCTTGCTCTCGCTCTTGCTGCTGCTCCACTTGCGGCGCCTGAGGGCTCCCTGACGGCTCTTGACCTCCCATTAGTCTCTGCCGCCTCCGTCGCTTTGGCTTCTGCTGCTGCTCCTCCTGCTCCTGCTGCTTCTCCTGCGCCTGCTGCTCCTCCACCTGCTTCAGCGCTTGCAGAAGAGCCAACAGCTGCCGCCTCTCGTCCTCACTGCCTGCTCCCATCTGCAGTGTCGCCATCACACGGCTTGACAGCACCGCCTGCTGCCTCTTCGCCTCCTCCCTCCTCGCCTCTGCTGCTGGCTTTTGAGTCGCCTCAAAAGTCAGCCCCTCTTTCATTGCCTCCTCTGCTGGTGCCAAATTCCTTGCTTTCGCTGCTGCTGGTGCGGCCACTTGAAGCGCCGGACTGCGGGCAGCAGTCACAGGAAGCTCACGGGGAACGGGAGTCGCGGCCGCGGCATTCATTAGTGGCAGCTGAGGTGTGAGGTTCTCGTGGTCATGGTTCACAGGGCCCCTATCATCATGCATGCTGTTGCTCATGTTAGTGCCCACCGCGTTCCCAGCCTTCCAGGGCTGCAGCGCTTCTTGCTGCTCTGATTGATTCTCTGCCTGATCCTCTGCTTGCTGCTGCTGCTGCTGCTGCTGCTGCTGCTGCTGCTGCTGCCACGCCGCGTGCTGCTCTGCTTCCGGTAGTCCCAGCGAGCATGCGAGCTTCGACAGGCCCGCCAGCGTGCGTTTCACCCGAGTCTGCACCTCCCCGCGCGCCGCTCCAGCAACAGCAGCAGCAGCAGCATCAGCAGCACGCTTTGTCAACCCTCCCTGCTCCGATGAGTCCTCTACCGCATCATGCGGATGACCCGCTTCACCAGCCGCCATTGCTCCGCCCACAGCGGTCATCTGAGGCTCGGCAAGAGGCTCGTTCAGAGGTTCGGAGCGAGGTTCGGTCATGTGTAGCGCTAACGCGTCCTCGTGATAGCGCGCGCTGCCTGCCGGCCAGGAAAAGTGCCGCTCTCCGGGCTCCTCCGGAAGGGAATGCTGCTGCGCGGCCGGCGCGGCGAGCGTGGTGTGCGGCGGCGGCACGGCGAGCGGCGAAGGAAGGTCGTCCTTTGCAAAGAGTGCGGCGGCGAGAGAGTCCGACGTTGCGCCGTCGACCGCGGTGGGGATGGAAACGCTGTGCGCCATAGTAATAGTACTAGTTGTAGTTTTGATGCTGTGAGGTGAGGATGATGGGCTGGTTGCTTGTAGTAGTGTTTAGGTCTGCGCGACTCGGAGCTACGAGCGACTCGGAGTCTTGAATGACGCTGAGATGGCGGGGCGCAGAGCGACGTTGCGACACGACACGTCAAGACTTACTATCACTTCAAGCAGAATGACTGATAAAATAGTAGCCTTGATTGGGACAAGTGGCTTCTGGGGAGATGCAGTTGCGGATTTGGTTTGACACGAAAGCTGGGAAATGCGGATCTGGTAAATATAGAAACCTTTCTTGTGATACCACTATTCGTGGAGCGTTACTAAAGACTGCGGCCTTGCTCGACTGAACTGATTTGGAACCATCGTGGGAAACAACCCCCACTCCCGCCGCCATCGCGCACCGCGAGGAGACGGAAGACCTTTGCGGAGGAAATAAAGTCTCGTATCGTAACGAGAAGCGGACAATATAGTATCGCGTTGCTGCCGCGATCGCGTCGCGATCAGATCGTGGGGGATTTCTGCTGGGTACGTTCCACCTACGGCAAGGCGTCCCACAGAGAAAAGCGCCAGAATCTCTGGCTGACAGTCTCCCTCGCCGCACCTGCTTTTGACGGCAGTCAACCGCCATCGTGTGGGTTCCGCACAACTTGTATGGTGACGTGGCTCCACTCTCCCACACGACTCGTCTCCGAGACCCGGACCTCGCAAATCGCATTACAGAACTAAAGCTTGACATCCACTCGATGCGGGTAACAAGATTCGGACCTATGTGCGCTGGCAACGGTCAACTGCTCAGCCCGTGCGAGTTATGATGCGTCGAGCTGGACCGACATGGATTACTGATGAGCTGTGAGATTTGAGGTGCAAGGGAGTGAGCTGTCTATAATCCAAGAAGCTAGTGGAAGATCCACACCGCAATGAAGTTGCGAGTGAGAGAGTGAACCACCAGGCCCAAAGCCCCACCCTCTCGGCCCTCACAACAAACCAACACGAGAGAAGGGGGGGTGGGTGACTCCCAAATCCTAGGGGGAAGATATGTGCGGAGTGTAACTCCGGGGCAACCGCATAAAATACCCGGAAATGTTTGGAATGTGCCTGGCCACCACCAGTTCCAAACTGGAAGATAAAGTTGTTTTTTCTGGTCGTAACCAGTTACAGGGGTATCCATTCCTAGATGACGTGCTGACCCCTTCTTGGGGCTGGCAGAACACGCCTGCACGGGGGTGGGTTCGATCCCAGGACCTGATCTCTCGGAAGTGCCTCTTTCTACTGACTAGGCCACTTCTGGATAGTTTCAAACTGGAAGAGGAAAAATGTCTCCAATTTACTTTTCCTTCACATCCCTGTACATGTTCTTCAACTGACAAAGGAGAGTGCTAAAATTTCATAACATAGTGTTCAGTTGGGAACCGACCTACTCCGCGTAGTATATGAAGTAACGGCAAGAAACACCCTCTCTGTGTAAGCGCAGGGAAGGAGGCTACAGTTCACGAAATTTAGCGAAGCGCCAAGCTTCTCGCGACAGTGCTGCTGATTGTGATGGCGCTCGTTGGCAAGATTGGTTTCCTCGTCTAGATTATGGCGTTTCGAAAAGCACATTTGTAACCGTCGTTGTACACAACGTAACGAAACTCTGAGGTGACAGCATGTCCAATTTATAAGAAAGATAGAATAATAGACACCCAGCCTACAAAAGCAGTAGAAATATCAGGATAAGACAAATTATCCTCGGTTTACACCGTGCCCATCCGATTGATGTGTTGAAGCTGTCAAAATAGGAAACCACACCAGTTCATACCAAAACTCTGTCCAGCCATGGCTCATCCCCAAGGCCAGTCGGGACTGATGTCAATGCAGCCGGAATCGTCGTCAACGCTGCGGCGTTATTCACAAAGACGTTACCGGCAAAACTCCGACCGGCAACAGAACCACCAGCAAACGCATTGCCGGGGAAAAAAGTCCTCCCAGACCCAGCAGTTGCCATCACCACCCTCTCTAACTCAACAACTCGTTTCTCCAATGCATCTACATACCCCACTGCTCTATCCAGCATCGCACATGTGTCCCCTCGCCCCCTCACCTTCGCCCTCAACCTCTGCAGCCCCTCGCTGATCCTCTCCCTCCTCCGCCGCTCTGCCATGCTCCGGGGCTTGATCCTCTGGTTTGGCGCCGAACCACTCCGGATGCCTTGGCACCAAGGCAACCACTCGTTTTCCGTGCCGCACTCGTCGTGCACATCGTTTTCGTGGCCCTTGGGATCATGATCATCCAAAGCATCGTCCGTGCACCACTCGTCGTGCACGTCGCATGCGCGGCCGTTGGCCTCGCTCTCGTGCCTCCTCTCCCTGCGCTCGTCTCGTGCGCGCCACCCCTCTGCGCCCCTGCACTGATTCTCCTCAGCATCTGTGTTGCACACAGGCGGCTGAAAACACGCGACTAGACCAAAGCCGTTGTCAGAAGGCCACTGAACCCTGCCGTCCATGAAACCATCCATGCCGCCCGTGCCGTCCGACCCGCCCACTTGGCCAGCCACTACACCACCCACGCCTGTGCCTCCCGAGCCTGTGCCTGCCGAGCCTGCGCCTGCCGAGCCTGCGCTCGCTCCACAGGGCTGTCTGCTGGCCTCGGGAGGAAACTGCTGCTCGCACGCCTGCTCACGCCTGTGCTTCCTCTGGTGCTCCTGGTCCTGACAGTGCATGTGCTGCTCTGCGGCCACAGCCATATTGCCCTGGAGGCGAGGCCAAGAGCCGTGAGTTGGTGCTGCCTCCACAGCCGCTGCTGCATCTTTTGGGGCTGCGCCCACTGCACCTGCACCCATTGCACCTGCGCCCACTGCACCTGCCTCCATAGTGCACATGGCATGCAACACATCACTCCGGTTGTACCTCAAGTCCGGCACCATCGCACCCATGCCACAGCCTAGGATAGACGTCCTTATGCCACTGGCTGGGCTCCGCTGCTCGAACGAGCCACTGGCCGGTCCAAGCACGCTCCGGCTGTAGCACGCTTGGGCGGCCTGCCTGGCGTGCTGCCACGTGTGAGCGGCTGTAGCGCGGCCAGTGGGGCGCTCTGGGCTTTTCCTCTTCTTTCCCACGTCGCTCGCTGACTTGGTGTCGGTACTGCTGAAAAGGGTGCTGCTGATGGTGCCGTGTGTGCCCACCATCCCGCTGCTATCATGCATCCCATTACTCATGCCACTGCAGGGGTTGTTGATACCACTGCCATGCGGAGCAGACTCGGGGCAACTGCTGCCGCTGCCGCCGCCACCGCCACCGCAACCACCACAACTGCCGCTCCTCTCCCCACGCCGCCCTCTTCCACCACGAGCCAATCGCAGAGCGCCATCTGGACCGTATCTGGGGGCAAACGTGGAAGCAAGTGCGGACTCCACTAGCTTGGCCGATGCTCCGGCCTCTGGAAGAGCCGAGAAAGCTGAAAGCCACTGCTCCTCTTCCCCTCCTTCCATGCTGCTGCTGCTGCTGCTGCTCCTGTTGCTGCTGTTGCAATTGTGGTGCCTGGAGTACCCCTGGCCACTCTTCACTCACCGCCCTCTGTCCTTTCTGCCCCTTCTGCCATTTTTTCTGCTTCTGTTTCGGCCTCAGCCCAGGTTGCTTTGGCAGCTGCTGCGCCTGTTGCTCCTCCACCTGCTTGAGCGCCCGCAGGAGGGCCAAGAGCTCCCGACGCTCGTCCTCGCTGCCTCCCCCCATCTGCAGCGTCGCCATCACCCGGCCTGACAGCACTGCTTCCTCGCCCTCTGCCTCTGCCTCTGCCTCTGCCTCTGCCTCTGCCTCTGCCTCTGCCTCTGCCTCTGCCTCTGCCTCTGCTGCTGCTTCCTGCTGTGCTTCCTGTTGTGCTTCCTGCTGTGCTTCCTGCTGCTGCATCTCCTGCTGCTCTGCGTCCTGCTGCTGTGCTTCCTGCAGTCCCAGGGAGCGTGCGAGGCACGACAGGCCAGCCAACATGCGCTGAATCTGCTTCTCCCCGCTCGCCGCTTGCTTAGCAGCAGCAGGAGCGGCAGCAGCAGCAGGAGCAGCAGCAGCAGGAGGCTTATTCAAGTCCCCCAAGTCCTCCCCTGCTTCCCCTCCACCAGCCTCCTCCCCCCCACTCACCCCGGGACGCATCCCCAACGCTCCTCCCTCTGGCCCGCCCACGCAAGTCATCAGCGGTTCAACCAGGGGTTGAACCAAAGGCTCGAGCTGCCGCGGGGCCTTCAAAGGCCGTACCTGCAGTTGGTCAGAAGGCTCGACGTGCAGAGCTCTCCCGTGAAAACGCGGGCCACAGCTGAGCAGCGGCCACGAAGGCGGCCCTCCGAAGTGATGCTCTGGGATTGAATGCTGCGCGGCCGGCCGCGGGGGGCGCATGGTGTGCGGCGGCGGCGGCGGTTGCGACGGTGCGAGCGGCGAAGGGAGGTCGTCCAGTGCGAAGAGTGCAGCAGCAAGAGAGTCCGACGCTGTCCCTCCGCCGCCAGTGGTGGTGGTGGTGGTAGCGGTATTGCCGCAGCTGTTGACCAGCACAGTGCTGTCGTCGGCCATAGTTGTAGTAGAGCTGCCTTTGGCCTCGTGGAACCAGAGCAGACTGACAAACCTGTTGGTTAGCTCGGGTTGACGCGTAGGTACGTTGTAGCAGGTACTTGTTTCAGGTACGTTGTAGCAGGTACTTGTTTCAGGTACGTTGTAGCAGGTACTTGTTTCAGGTACGTTGTAGCAGGTACTTTGTAGCAGGTACTTTGTAGCAGGTACTTATTTCAGGTACTTTGTGGCAGGAGGAGTAGAGCAACGTGGTCACGTGGCAGGTTCAGGGTTTGTGTCTGGTGGGTAGCAACGCCACAGCAGCAGCTCCGGTTCTGCTGGCCAGGTGCTATAACGAATTGAAAAGACAGATGTGGACGCGGCTCGGTCTTGCAAGGCTGGCAGGCGATGGTGGTGGTGTCTTAGTAAGGTGGAGGCGGCGCGTGTCGGGCGCTAGTTGTAATTTGAGCCCGGTTACCGTTTAAGGAGATTGGAAATACCCGGAACTCAGGGGTTCAGGCTGTGAGCGAGCCTCAAACGTGAAATGGGCAGCGGACGATGATGTGAGGAGAGACGTCACGATGAAGTAGAGAGTCAGCACAAGTTGCATGAAGAATGAAAGACGGAGGACGACTCTCGTGATAAATAATCAGCTCTCTTGATAAATACTACTTATTTCTGGAAAGATTTGAAACGCTTGATTGCTTGGTTGTGATCTTTGATCACGATTCGATCCGACATGGATTTCGCGAACGGCTAACCAATCTTGGGACATGTGAGAGAGTGAGACGGGTGGATGGGTGGCGCTTGCGAGTAGATTAGTACGAATCTTATCGTAACGACTTCGCAGCAGACACTCGTTTACCGCGTTTGTTGGGATCGCGGCGCCTTCTCACCGCTGATGAAAAATGTGGCATGTTGAATAAACCTGCCCCAGGCCGGGGACGGGAATCCACGTGATACCGGGCTACTGGCAGAAGCTTTCGCTATCACAATCTCGCCGCGCGTTCTTGACGCCGCCATTGCGAGGGAGGCACACAACTACCACACGATGTCGTGGCGCCACTCTGCCACCAGAGCTATCGCGCCCTAGCTCCGCAGAATGCGATCGGCTGTATCTGTACCGCATCAGATTACAAATCTAGTGCGCTGGCAACGGTCAACTGCTCCGCACGCGACAATTCATGATTGAACGCGCTGGATTGGATGATGGCGGTCTTCGCTGGAGGCTTGGGCCGTAAGCCAGACAGCTGGATTTTGGGAACCGCTGAGGCCAGTGAGCCAGTGAGCTGGAACCGCCACCTAGACCTGGAGGATGGACTCGGGAACTAGTGAAGAAAACTGCAAGCTCAAGCGAATTCGCAGATGGGGAAGCTTCCGAAGCTTCCAGAAGGAGATTGCAGTCCAGATCTTGTTAGTGCCCGAAACCTAGGGGTTATGGTTAGGCTTTCCCAACATTGAATACGGTTTCTCGGCTGTCTCAAGGTTTAAAAGCCGGTTCAGGTCATTTCCCAGTGATTTTCTAGTCACCGCGAACCCAGTTCTAGCCTTTTTCCGACGCATTTGGCAGTGACCCCACTTTTTTCTGAAGGACATCACACTGCAGAATAATGTTTGTAGACAGAGTTGAAATTTTGAGGGATGACATGTCCGTAGGTCGCTACTACTGCGACCTCAAACGTTTCCAGATTTGCACCACTACAAGTGTCTCACTTCCTTCTGGCGTCTTCCAATGTGCAGAAAAGTTCTTATGGACTTGATATAATTACCCTTTGATGAGAGATTACTAGAAACGGTATATATTCACCCTCGGATGGGAGAGGTTACGGGAAACTGGAAAACGAAGAACATTGAGGCTTTTAGGGGGCACTTGTGAAGGCACTTCTTCTGACCAAGCCTGATCGCACCAACCCTCCACGCATAAAAAGGGGTACCACAGACGACGGCTGGCAGTGTTCTCGCCTAGAATGGCGATCTTTGCCGAAACTAGTGTCCACGTTTCGAAGTGCTGCTGGGAAGTTACAGTACAGTGCAAACCGCATGTGTTTGCGCACGTGATAATGACGAGTTTTTCGACTGCATTGAACCAAATCCAGCAAGCTGGATTGGCACGGTTGAGGTGGGGGTAATTGCACGAGCTGTTTGCGTTGGTGGGGTGGGGATGGTGTGGCAACGCTCCCATCTGGCAACCCCTGATTCGTTTTAAGAAGAAGGTTTACGAGATTAAGCCTCTCAACCATGCTTGGCTCTAGGATAATTCACCAATACTCACCGCCTTGAGCTGACTACATTATAATGGTAGCTGCTGTGTCTTCTGTTATTTAACTTTCTCTGAAAGACGTATGATTTGAAATAAAAAAACTTCACCTAAACTTTCTCCTAAAGCATCTCGCAACATAGTAGCTAACCAGCACAACCCAAGGTAGTACGAGTACCGTGCTCTGATGCAGCCCGTCTCTGTAGTGTCACTGATGATGCGTACGTAACGAGATACACTAACACTGATTGCATTCCCTGTCATCGTAGCATCACGCACCTGTGAGCTTCCAGCAAGTTAGCTTTCGCTCGTTATTCCGTGTGACACACATACGTACCACGCCTTGGCTGCATTTGTCAATTCTTTATGCACCTCAACCAGGCCTCATCAGGGCCTCTGATTCGCTTACCGCAGATGCATTTTCCATCAGAGTTAGGTCATAAAAAGTGCATTCCGTTTATAAGAATGATAATACACCATACCCAGCTCACAAAGCAGTTGAAAGATAAGGGAATCTGACAACAAAAATGTTGGGTTCCAAAATGCCCATAGGAATACGGTAATGTGGCAAAGCTCCAGCAGCTTAGACCAAAATTGTGTCCAGCCATGGCTCACCACCAAGGCCAGTCGGGACCGATGTCAACGTAGCCGGTACCGTCGTCAATGCTGCAGCGTTATTCACAAAGACATTCCTGGCAAAATTGCGACCGGCAAAAGAACCACCGGCAAACGCATTGCCGGGGAAAACGTTCCTCCCAGACCCAGCAGCCGCCATGACTACCTGCTCTAACTCCATCACTCTTCGCTCCAAAGCATCTACATACCCCACTGCTCTATCCAGCATAGCACATGTGTCCCCTCGCCCCCTCACCTTCGCCCTCAGCCTCTGCAGCCCCTCGCTGATCCTCTCCCTCCTCCGCCGCTCCGCCATGCTCCGGCTCTTGATCCTCTGGTTCGGCGCCGAACCTGACCTCACGCCCTGGCACCGAGGCAGCCACTCGTCATCCGTGCCACAGTCGTCTTGCATGGCGCAACGCTTGTGGCGCTTGGGATCATCCAGGGCATCTGTGCTCCACTCAGCATCTTGTGCAGGCGCCGCTTCCCCAAAGTCCTCATCAGATTGCCACTGACCCGTGCCTTCCATGTCTTCCATGTCTCCTATGCCTTGCATGCCTCGCATGCCCTCTGTGCCTTCTTCCCCACCCACTTGCCCACTGCTGCTGGTTGTTGGGCCACCTGCCAAGCCTGCACCGCCCGAGCCTGTACGCGCCGAGCCTTCACCGCCCGTGCCTGTGCCTGCCGAGCCTGCACTGCCCCGGGAGTGCTGATTCCTTGCCTCCGGTGACAGTGGGTTGTGGGACGCTTGCTCAAACCTCTGCTTCTGCTGCTGCTGCTGCTGCAGCCGCTGCTGCTGGAGCAGGAGGTGCATGTGCTGCCGTGCTGCCACCGCCATGGTGCCGCGAAGAGGAGACACAGTGGAGTGTGCTCGTGCCCCCACTGCCACTGCCACTGCCCCCACCGGCACTGCGTCTGCATCCTTGAAGAGCATGCCTTCTAGAACACCACTCTGGTTCATATGTCCGAGCTCACTGCGGCTGTAGCAGCCGTTTCCGGGGGTCTGCATGCCGTGCTGCCACTGAAGAGCGGCTGTAGCGCCGCCAGTGGGGACCTCGGGACTTCCCCTCTTCCTCCCAGCGACGCTCGCTCCACCAACGTTCGTAGCAGGAGCACCGCTGAAAAGGTCACTGCTGATACCATATGGCAGCATCGTGTTATAGTGAATCTCGTTACTCACACCACTGCACGGGTTGATGCCAACACCATGCAGCGAAAACTCGGGGTTTTTCCCAACACCTCTGCCGATACCACTGACGCCACCACTGCTGCCACCACTTCCGCTCCTCTCACCACAAGCCAATTGCAGGGCGCCATCTGGACTGTATCTGGGAGCGTGGGGGGGAGCAAGGGCTGAGAGCTGGCGCTGCTTGTCACATCCTTCCTGCTGCTGCTCCTGCTGCTGCTCTTGCTCTCGCAGCTGCCGCTGCTGCTCCTGCAGCAGCACTTGCGACGACTGAGGGTTTCCTGACAACCCTTGACTTCCCATCGCCCTCTGCCGCCTCTGTCGTTTCCGTGCGTTCTGCCTCGTCTTCTGCTGCTTCTGCTGCTGCGCCTCCTGCGCCTGCTGCTCCTCCACCTGCTTCAGCGCCAGCAGTAAGGCCAACAGCTGCCGCCTCTCGTCCTCGCTGCCCGCCCCCATCTGCAGCGTCGCCATCACTCGGCTTGACAGCACGGCCTGCTGCCTCTTCGCCTCCTCCCTCCTCGCCTCTGCTGCTGCTGCTGCTGCCGCGACTGCAGCTGCTACTGCTACTGACTTTTGAGTCGCCTCAGAAGCCACCTCCTCTCTCCTTGCGTTGGGTTGCTGCTGCTGCTGCTGCTGCAGCCACATGCAGCGGCGGTGTGCGTGCTGCAGGCACCGAGACTCGCCCTTCGGGGACGGGAATCACGGCCGCGGTGTTCATCAGTGTGAAGTACTCCTGCTCCTGCTCATGCTCTTGCTCCTGCTCTTGCTCATGGTTAGTATAGTTCTGGTTCTGGTTCTGGTTCTGGTTCTGGTTCTGGTTCTGGTTCCCATAGCTTCCATCCCCAGGCACTGCTGCTGCTGCTGCTGCTGTTGCTTCCCACTGCGTTGGCTGCTGCGTCAAGTTCCTCTCGCTGCTGCTGTGCTTGCTCACGCTGCGCTGCTTCCTGCTGTCGCAGCGAGCATGCGAGCGTCGACAGGCCAACCAACATGCGCTCTATCTGCACCTCCCCGCCCGCCGCCGCTCCTTGCATGGCAGTAGCAGCCTCAGCAGGCCTTGATAGCCCTCCCAACCCCTCCGTTCCGCCCACAACGGTCACCCGAGGCTGAGAAAGAGGCTCGTTCAGCGGCTCGGAGCGAGGTTCGGCGTGTAGCGAGAACCCCTCCTCGGGAAAACCGCGAGGGCAGACTGGGGACCAGCCGAAGCGGCCTCTGGTGGGGTCCACGGGGAGAGAACTCTGAGAGGCCGGCGCAGCCGGTGGCGGCAGGAGCGTGGCGTGCAGCGAAGCGAGCGGCGTGGCGTGTAGCGAAGCGAGCGGCGAAGGGAGGTCGTCCAATGCGAAGAGAGCAGCGGCGAGAGACTCCGACGTCGCTCCGTCGGCCGCGGTGATGGTTGCACTGCTGTTTGCAGGCAGAGTGGTAGAAGTGCTGAGACTCGCCATGATTGGTTGGATAGCTGTCGGCTGCCTTTGTAGCAGGATATATCTTGGCACGTGCCTTTGTAGCAGTAACAATCGGCTTCAGGCAGCTCACAAAGTTGTGAGCTCAGCTGGGTTGCTCCTAGCAGAGGTGGAGGTGAGCGGCGATCTCGAGATGTTGGGCCAGACACGTCACGTGGTATCAGTGGTGACCTGATGAAATTGACGCTTTATTGTTCCAATTCCTTTGGAGGGGTTTGTGAAGACTCGGAGCCTCTGGATGGCGTTAATAGTCCGGTGTTTTGAGACGTCTGAAGACTCAACAGTGTCCGGCGGGCCGCGGACGATGGGTTGTGACGAGTATTGGATGGCGTCGGAATGGCAGGGCCGCGGGCGGGCGAGGATGTAAGGCGGCACGACAAGAGTTAAGACTCGAAAAAGTCGGCAGATGTGATTGCGAACTATCGATTCAGACAAGTAGCTTCTTGAACGAGGGAGATAGTTGGGGATTCGTTAACAATGGAGGAGGTTTGGAGGAGGATTCGCTGACGATGGAGGCCCTTGGAAATGTGGATCTGGTGAAGAAAAGAAAACCTCCACTTGAGAAATAGTAATCAGAGGAGCGTTACTACTAGAGCTTGACTGATCTGATTCGGAACGATCGCGCGAAAAAACCACCCACTCGCCGCGCCGCCGACATGAGCGCGAGGAGAGAGAGAAGTGAGAGGGAGCCCTAAGAGAGTGAGCAGGAGCGTGGGAAAGGCGTCTGCAGGGAAAGTGAGAGTCCGGGCCGCCGAATCAAATCGTAACGAGGAGCGGACAGCACGACTGGGTCGAAACACAGCGCGTTGCTGTCATCGCGGCGCCATCCGGCCATCGTGGTGTACACGTACGTCTGGCGGCTCAGAGCCAGCGTCATCGGCCTGTGAGTCTGTGACTCACAGTCTTCCCCTCCGTACAGTGCAGTATGGGTTTTGACGGCAGTCAACCGCCATCGCGTGGGAACCACACAAGGCGTATGATCGAATGATGTCGTGGCGCCCACTCGCCCACCGTATCTCGTCGCATCCAGTCTCTAACCTCGCAAATCGCGTTACAGGTACTACAGTCTGACATCCCGACGATGCGGATAGCTGTATGCTGCACCGAAAGAATGAGATTCGGATCTAGTTTCTAGGTGCGCTGGCAACGGTCAACGGCTCGCCTCGTGCGAGTTGGATTGAGCTGGATGACTGAGCTGGAAGCTTGGAGGCCAAGCAAGTGAGCTGGAAACCATGAGCGCGTACTAGGGGATTGAGGACGAAGCTGCGCCAGAAGTCTGTGAAGGGAGCTAACCAAGGTGCTGGAGTGGGTCCCAAGAGGAAGATACTGTACGTGTACAGTACCACACCCAGTTTCTATTTGAAGTACCGCGCCGCCACCACAAATTCCAAAACCCCAGAGTACAACGGGAATGGAAGCTCACTTCCTCCTCCCGCTGGCAAATCCGCAGGACGAGCTTTGGGACCCTTTCATCATCCCCCTGCACACTCCCATTCCGAATGAGCCTTTTCTTCGATCCTTCAAAGTGAATAACGCGATTTTGAAGCATACAGCAAATAAAGCGCGTTGTTGCGAGCTGCGCAGCAAGGGATACCGAGGTGAGGTTGTACGCGGTCTGACCGACTTTCTTCAAACCCGCGTACTACGGTGTAACTGCAAGAAAACGCTCGCTAGTTTCCTAGTCCGCTGTACGGAGCCAAGTTGGCGAAGCGGCAGACTTTTCGCGAGTGGGATGGCGACCCTTGGCGAAACTGGTTTTCTCGTTCTAGATCATGGCAAGTGTAGGCGAGGCGTTTCAAAATGCCATGTGCTTGTGCACGTGATTTTGAGGAGTTCGTTTTCCCCACAAACAAAATCCGGCGATGAAGGACCAGGGAACGGTTGAAGGCGATTGCGCACTGACGTGCCTTGTCTTGTGCGGCATTTCATCCGAAATTCGGTCCCAAGTCCTTCGAAGATCTAGATAGCAAATCTTACAATAGTTGCTATAACACCTCAAAGGCTACTGGTACACTTCATGCAATATACTTGATAAACACATGCTTTCATTGAACTGGAATATCCACAACATGCAGAAGGAGTGCCACTGCAATACCAACCAAACATTTAATCAGGTCCACATAGTGAGATTTCCATTATAGATACATAGATCGTTATTTTTGTTCCATGTTAAAGCCATTGATTTTTTTTACAACAGATGAGTTTTAAAAAAAAGAACAAAGTTACAGGCTATTTACCATGTCAAAGAAAAGGTTGAGCACCTGCGATGGGCAAATATGCATTCACTCTGCACAATGCTCCACTCCACACCACAAAATTATAAAACTGGCAAACCCATATGCAGAGAGAATTGGTGTTGATGTAGCTGTAAGGATCTTTCTCAGCCCAACAGGGGTGAAGGATGGGGAAGGGGAGTGTGGGGGGTCACAGAGACACATGCACACTAAAAAACAAGGGAAAAAAAAAAAGAAAACCTGTAAGCAGCCACACTTCACACAGCCCAGCTCATGGACAGGAAAAAGGTTCCTGAAGGGTAACAGGGACAAGCATCAACACCTCTCACTCCCTCACCCGCTCACTCCCTCTTCCTCTTCCGTTCAATGCTCAACTGCCAAGCCTTCTTCATATCTGTCCAAACCCATCCTCTCCTCCATGCCCTGACCCCCCTGCTGCAACACCTGGAACCATAACCACACCAGGTGTCTCCTTTGCTCACACCCTCCCCCTCTTCCGTCCAATGCTCAACTGCCGCGCCTTCTCCGCCAGATCTGTCCAGAAACCATCCTCTCCTCCATGCCCTGACCCCCCTACTGGAACACCCGGGACCACCAGTACACCAGGTGTCCCATTCACCCCATGTCGTGCCTGCTGTGGACCATTCCTTTCATCCCTTTCATCCTTGCACCCGCCCTGCTCCCCATTCCTGCCCTCGTTGCCGCTCCCCCCTCCTCGCAGCACCCCCACCCATCCGCGCCTCTTCAGCCTCTCGTACTTGCGAGCGACGCACGGCAGCAGGCTCGGGATCACGTTCGGAAGCGCCTGGCCTGCGGCATGGATGGTGTTCCGAGGCGCATCAAGTAATGCCGCACCTGCCTTGTGCAGTGTGCCGCCCGCCTTTTGCAGCGTGCCGCCCGCTTTCAGCATCTGACTGTCAATCTGGGACCTCCCTTCTTGGACCTTCTCCAGCCAGCCCTGTGCTGCTTCCAAGAATCTTCCACAGTCCCTGAAGTCACCCCCACCAGCCCCACCAGCAGCAAGACCAGCACCACCGGCAGCAGAAGCACATGCATCCGGGCCCGGCTTGCTGAGGCTGCTCATCCCATCCCACTCGCGCTCAAACGCGCCGTGAGGAAGCTGCTTCCGCCGCTGCTGCTCCTGCTGGTGGTCCCACTCGCCCTGCAGCTTGCTGATGTTCAACCGCGGCAGGGGAGTGATGCCCACATCATCATCGCCACCAGCAGCAGCACCAGCACCAGCAGCAGCAGCACCACCAGAACCAGCAGCAGCAGCATGATTGGTAGAATCAGTGGGGTGCACGGAGAGGTCTCGGAGAACAGCAGCCAGCAGCGGATCGTCCACATGCACTCCAAACCCCCCTCCTGCCCCCTCCTTTCTCACCTCCCCTTTCCCTTCCCCTCCTTCCTCTCCTGTCTCCCCTCTCTTCTCCCCTCCCACCTCCCCTGTCTCCTCCCCTCTCTCCTCCCCTCCCGCCTCCCCTGCCTCCCTCGCATCTGCCGCCCCAACCACTCCCCACGGCCCCTGCAGCAGCTGCAGCTCTCGCATTCTCACTCGCTCAAGCTCCTCCCCCCGCGCCTTCACTCTCGCCAGCTCTGCTTCCCTCACGCGCACCTCCTCCCTTAACCGCTCCAGCACTGCAGCAGCATACGCCCCTGCCTGCCCTGCCCCCCATGCTGCCCCACCCCTCGGTTCCTTCTCCTCGCTTCCTGCTCTTCCCACCACCCCACCTGCCTCGTGTGATTGCCCCTTGAGTCGCCGCATTTCCCCCTGCAAGAACGCCAGGAGACCCCCGCCCCGCTCCTGCGCCCGTTCCCCCTCGCTCCTCCCTTCACCCTCCACTGAACCACCACTCACGCCCCACTCACCACCCTCCTCTTCCTCGTCCTCTTCCTCTTCCGGTTCTGATTGTTCCTCCTCTTCCTCCGCCTCCCCAACCCTCCCATAGCCATCCTCTTCCCCGAATCCCCTGACCCCGAACGACCCATCAGCCTCTCCCCAATCCCCCTCTGCTGCCCACGGCCTCTCGTCCAAACCCCACGCCTCAACCTCCCTCGCTTCCTCCCTCTTTCTCTCGCTCTCCTTCTCCCTCTCCCTCTCCTCCTCCCTCCAAGCAACAGCAGTCTCAGCACCCGGCCTCGGCAGCGCACCCAACACCCCTCTCCTCACCACGCCCCAATGCCCTCCCCCTCTCCCTTTTCTTGCTGACGTGGCGGCGGCAATCCCAAGGGAGACACCGACAAGGCCGCCCAGGCTGAGAGTCACGGGGTGGAGGAGGAAGGAGGAGAGGCGGGCAACCCTCCCCACCACGCCCTCAATGGCTTTAGCGCCATTAGTAGCCACACAAGTTAAAGCCCGAACCTGGTTGATTGGCTGGAGAGCCCAGCTCTGGTTCGGCTGGCTCCGGACCTGCTGTGCGCCCTGCTGGTCAGCCTGCGAGTCAGGTTCGGCAGCCAGGTTCGGCACAGCCTGGTCTGGTAGAGGCTGGTGTGAGTGTATCGGAGAGGCTTCAACCGGGGGAATGGGAGGGGAGGGAAGCGAGTCAGGTGGGGACTGGGGAAGGAGATCAGCTGACGCGGGGTGAGCTGAGGAGGGCTCATCTGAGGGCGGTGGAACTGAGGGGAGCTGGCTTGGAGAGGCGTGTGCAGGCTCGGCCAGAGGTGCTGTGGTTGCAGCGATGGAATCAGGGAACGATTGAGCTGTAGAGGAGCCAGCAGCGACAGTGGCAGCAGTGGGAGGAAGAGATGCAACAGCTGTGGCAGCACAGGTAGGGACGATGGGAGCAGGTGCTGCAGGGAAATCGTTAGCAACAGTGTCAGCAGCAGCGACAGCAGCAGCGTGAGCATCTAAACTGTCAGCTGCAGCGTCAGCAGAGATAGCACCGTCAGTAGTGTCAGCAACAGCGCCAGCAGAGCCAGCCTCAGTACTGGCGTCAGTTGTCGTGACAGCAACACACTCACTCGCCTTAGCAGCACCAGAGTCAGCAGCGACAGAGTCAACGGAGTCAGCAGAGTCAGCCGAGTCAGCAGAGTGAAGGGAGTCAAGAGAGTCAGGTGCATGAGCTGCAGGGGTGAGAGGGTCAGCGGACACATGAGAGCTGGCAGCAGTGGCGCCAGATGAGTTAGCACGAGTCACGTCAGCATGAGTCAGATCAGCAGTCACGCCAGCTCCATCACTCACATCACCACCACCGGCAATGGCAGCAGCAGTGGTGACTGCAGCAGCAGCCGCAGCACCAGCAGAAGGCGCATCTAGAGTCTCAGCAGCTGAATCATCATCATCGTCATCATCAGCAGTTGGTTTCTCTTCCTCTCCTCCCTCCTTGCCTCCCTCCGCACTTCCCTCCCCACCACCCAGAGCAGCAGCAGTAGCATGCTTCGCAGGCGCCTCACACTTGCCCTGGTCAGTGGCACTAGCTCCCGCACCCGCACTCTCGCCCTCCCCCTCTCCCTCCTGTCCCCTGCTGTCCTTCCCCGTATACCCATCGCTCTCTCCCCCGCTCTTTTCCTCACACTCTCCCTCACTCTCCTCATCACTCTCTTTCTCACTTCCTTCCTCACTCTCTTGCTCGCTCTCCGACTCTTGCCCAAATATTTTTCTCCTGACCGGCGGCCTGCCCACCGCCCAGTCATTCTGCCCGACCTGTCCGCTCGTGGGGCTGTCCCCGTCCGAGTCTTCCCCCTCCGCCACCGCCCCTCCCCCCATCACTGCGACTTCGGGGTGCTGGTAATAGGGTGGAGGTTGCTTGGAAGCTTCCTTCGAGGGGGAAGGGGAAAGCGCGGAAGCGGAGAAGGGGGAGGGGGAGAAGGGGTGCGCGAAGGAGTACGGCGCAGCGGCGGGGCCTTGCGCGGGAGTGAGGGGTTGGGGGAGGAGGGAGGAGGGGGAAGAGGAAGGGGAGGGCTCGTGGGCAGGGAGTAATGCGGGGAGCGGGCCGGCGGAGAAAGGGGAGAAGGCGGAGGGAGAAAATAACTTATGCTGCGGGGCGGAAGGGAGGGGGACAAGGGCGGAAGGGAAGGGGAAGGGCTCCAAGTCAACGTCTTCCGCCAGCTGCTGGATGCGCGCAACCACCTCCGCCTCGCGCCCCTGGTGGCACCGCCCCTGCGACGCCACTATACGCGCCGCCATCTTTAACTCCGTCACCATCTGCGCCCACTGCGCCGCCGCCTCCGCTTCCGCCTCGCGCTCCCCCTCCGCGGAACCCGCCGCGGCGGCCGCGAGGGCGGCGGCATTGACTCCCCGCGCCCCGGATTTCCCCGCGCTCGCCCTGCGCCCCTGCCGCTGCGGCGCGCGCAGATGGTTTATCTGCTGCTGCGTCTTCTGTTGTTTCACCTGAAGTTTCTCCTGAAGCGTCTCCTCGCACTGTAGCAGCTGGTCCAGGTGCCACTCGAGCATCTCCAGCGCGTCGCGGAGCGCGATCAGCATCCGCGCCTCGGCGCTTCCCTGCCCGGATTGAATCTTCTCGTCCTGCCCGGCCTTCCGGGCAGACTCGACATGTTTTTCATAGGCGCGCTGGTAGGAAGAGGAGGGAGAGCTTGTGTTGCTTCCAGACCCGTTAGACTTATCCCCGCTAGAGCCGCTGGAGTTTTTGGTGGGCGTGTCCTGTTGCGACAGGCTGGTCGGAGCAAAGGGAGAGTTCAGTGTGTCGAGCAGACAAGGGTTTTTTTTTAGAATTCTCAAAAAAACCCTTCAGCATAAAGGGATAGTTCAGTGTGTCGAGCAGAGAAGACAAGAATAAGGAAAGAGAAACATGAGTCAGGATCATGGAGACCGGTGAAGAGACAATGGCAAATACAAAGGTTGCTGGGGGAATGGAAAGTAACAATGACGAAAACTGCAAGGAGGCGCATTGAATGAGAGAGGAGAAGAATCACCGGACGGGTATGGGAGCTAAAATTAGTGCCACGTGTAACTCGATGCATACGAAACGGAATAAGTGCACAATTGAAGGAAACAGGAGGTTGTGAAACTCGAAATTGAGTCACTTTCAAAAAAGCAACGCGCTTTTTCCATACCGAGAAGCCACCAGCGGGCCAGAGGGAGAAGACCCCGCAGAAGCGCAATCGGCGGCGGCACCGGCAGCGGCACCAGCGGCGGCGGCAACGGCGCTCCCGCCGGTGGAGAGGAAGAAGTCGCACTGGAGGCTGCGCTCGATCGCGTCGCTCACTTCTTCGTGTAGCTCGCCGACGCGATTCAGTAGCGCGGGTAACGAAGCGGATTGTAACGAAGCAGCTGCCATGACCAATGGCACTGGACCACAATCACATGAATTGTTTCTATGAGTGTTTAGAGATATCAATCAGCACAATTGCCGGCGACGCTCCTACAGGGTCTCGCTACTAAGCGGCTAAGTAAACTTGCTGCAGTTGGCTAGAGAATAAGTAACAGTAGTCGTACCAGAATGGAACAGTGGAATGCCTATTTCGCCCCTGCTGGTGGGGACCAGGATTCCGCCCCACTACTGTATGCTGCTTTCCGCGCGCGCTGCTTCCCCGCAAACAGCTGCTTGGATGTTGGTGAGGGTGGGGGTTGGTGAGGAAGAACGTTGCGATTGGATTCTAGATGTTAGACACGGCCCTGCTAGATGCAAAGCGAGACAGTGAGCTTTAGTGCGGTGGGGATCAAACAAATGTGTGCGCTTTGGTTCTTGAGATTGCCTGCGCGCACACGCGCGCCGAGGGAGAGCGGTTCATGGCGAGATGACGAAATTTCTGCGCGTGTGACGGGAGGCGGAGACTAGCAGGAAGAATGAACATGTGGCTCCTGTATCACTTCCCTCGCTCGAGTTCTTATATCGAGGTTGTAAAAGGTTGTCTGACCGCCGCCTTCGCGTCGCGCGCGATAAGAACTCCGCAACATCATCGGTCACTATAGTGATCACATAAAATTGCATTTACTACACCTGTATTGGATCAATTCATTTTTGTCCGTGGAGCGCTTCCAGCCCCAAAACGCGGAAAGATCCGCACATGTGCAGGAAGTGCAGCAGGCGCTCTTCATTCGCGAGCGCCGATGATCGATGATGCTCACAACCCTCCCACACCATTTCTGGCTAGGTAATAGGCCCAGACAAGCGCAGCCACGTGACCCGGCAGAAGAAAAACGCTCGGAACGAGCGCTTTCACCCAAAAAACGCGAAAGGTTTTGCACACGTGCAGGAACAGCAGCGCGCGCTCTTCATTCGCGAGTGCCGACGACCGATGACGCTTGGAACCCTCCCACGCCCTTGCTGGCTTGGTAATAGGCCCAGACAAGCGCAGCCACGTGACCCGGCGGAAGAAAAACGCTAGGAACGAGCGCTTCCAGCCCCAGAACGCGGATGGATCCACACATGTGCAGGAAGTAAAACGGACGCTCTTCATTCGCGAGCGCCGATGACCGATGATACTCGCAACCCTCTCACGCCCTTGCTGGCTTGGGAGTAGGCCCAGACAAGCGCAGCCACGTGACCCGGCGGAAGAAAAACGCTCGGAACGAGCGCTTCCAGCCCCAAAACGCAGAAGGATCCTTCCGCACATGTGCAGGAAGTGCAGCGGTCACTCTTCACTCGCGAGCGCCGATGACCGATGACGCTCGCAACCCTCCCACGCTCTTGCTCGCTTGGCAATTGGCCCAGACAAGCGCAACCATATGATCCGGCGGAATAATAACGCTCGGAATGAGCGCTTCCAGCCCCAGAACCCGGAATGATCCGCACATGTGCAAGAAGTGCAGCGGGCGCTCTTCATTCGTGAGCGCCGATGACCGATGATGCTCGCAACCATCCCACGCCCTTGCTGGCTTGGCAATAGGCCCGGACAAGCGTAGCTATGTGACCCGGCGGAAGAAAAACGCTCGAAACGAGCGCTCCCAGCCCCAAAACGCGGAAGGATCCGCACATGTGCAAGAAGTGCAGCGGGCGCTCTTCATTCGCGAGCGCCGATGACCGATGACGCTCGCAACCCTCCCACGCTCTTGTTGGCTTGGCAATAGGCCCAGACAAGCGCAGCCACATGACCCGGCGGAAGAAAAACGCTCGGAACGAGCGCTTCCAGCCCCAAAACGCGGAAGGATCCGCACATGTGCAGGAAGTGCAGCGGCGCTCTTCACTCGCGAGCGATGATTACTGATGATGCTCGCAACCATCCCACGCCCTTGCTGGCTTGGCAATAGGCCCGGACAAGCGTAGCTATGTGACCATGCGGAAGAAAAACGCTCGAAACGAGCGCTCCCAGCCCCAAAACGCGGAAGGATCCGCACATGTGCAAGAAGTGCAGCGGGCGCTCTTCATTCGCGAGCGCCGATGACCGATGATGCTCGCAACCCTCCCACGCCCTTGCTGGCTTAGCAACAGGCACAGATAAGCGCAGCCACGTGACCCGGCGGAAGAAAAACGCTAGGAACGAGCGCTTCCAGCCCCAGAACGCGGATGGATCCACACATGTGCAGGAAGTAAAACGGACGCTCTTCATTCGCGAGCGCCGATGACCGATGATACTCGCAACCCTCTCACGCCCTTGCTGGCTTGGGAGTAGGCCCAGACAAGCGCAGCCACGTGACCCGGCGGAAGAAAAACGCTCGGAACGAGCGCTTCCAGCCCCAAAACGCAGAAGGATCCTTCCGCACATGTGCAGGAAGTGCAGCGGTCACTCTTCACTCGCGAGCGCCGATGACCGATGACGCTCGCAACCCTCCCACGCTCTTGCTCGCTTGGCAATTGGCCCAGACAAGCGCAACCATATGATCCGGCGGAATAATAACGCTCGGAATGAGCGCTTCCAGCCCCAGAACCCGGAATGATCCGCACATGTGCAAGAAGTGCAGCGGGCGCTCTTCATTCGTGAGCGCCGATGACCGATGATGCTCGCAACCATCCCACGCCCTTGCTGGCTTGGCAATAGGCCCGGACAAGCGTAGCTATGTGACCCGGCGGAAGAAAAACGCTCGAAACGAGCGCTCCCAGCCCCAAAACGCGGAAGGATCCGCACATGTGCAAGAAGTGCAGCGGGCGCTCTTCATTCGCGAGCGCCGATGACCGATGACGCTCGCAACCCTCCCACGCTCTTGTTGGCTTGGCAATAGGCCCAGACAAGCGCAGCCACATGACCCGGCGGAAGAAAAACGCTCGGAACGAGCGCTTCCAGCCCCAAAACGCGGAAGGATCCGCACATGTGCAGGAAGTGCAGCGGCGCTCTTCACTCGCGAGCGATGATTACTGATGATGCTCGCAACCATCCCACGCCCTTGCTGGCTTGGCAATAGGCCCGGACAAGCGTAGCTATGTGACCATGCGGAAGAAAAACGCTCGAAACGAGCGCTCCCAGCCCCAAAACGCGGAAGGATCCGCACATGTGCAAGAAGTGCAGCGGGCGCTCTTCATTCGCGAGCGCCGATGACCGATGATGCTCGCAACCCTCCCACGCTGGCTTAGCAACAGGCACAGATAAGCGCAGCCACGTGACCCGGCGGAAGAAAAACGCTCGGAACGAGCGCTTCCAGCCCCGAAACGCGGAAGGATCCGCACATGTGTAGGAAGTGCAGCGGTCGCTCTTCATTCGCGAGCGCCAATGACTGATGATGCTCGCAACCCTCCCACGCCCTTGCTGGCTTGGCAATAGGCCCAGACAAGCGCAGCCACGTGACCCGGCGGAAGAAAAACGCTAGGAACGAGCGCTTCCAGCCCCAGAACGCGGATGGATCCACACATGTGCAGGAAGTAAAACGGACGCTCTTCATTCGCGAGCGCCGATGACCGATGATACTCGCAACCCTCTCACGCCCTTGCTGGCTTGGGAGTAGGCCCAGACAAGTGCAGCCACGTGACCCGGCGGAAGAAAAACGCTCGGAACGAGCGCTTCCAGCCCCAAAACGCAGAAGGATCCGTACATGTGCAGGAAGTGCAGCGGGCACTCTTCACTCGCGAGCGCCGATGACCGATGACGCTCGCAACCCTCCCACGCTCTTGCTCGCTTGGCAATTGGCCCAAACAAGCGCAACCATATGATCCGGCGGAATAATAACGCTCGGAACGAGCGCTTCCAGCCCCAGAACCCGGAATGATCCGCACATGTGCAAGAAGTGCAGCGGGCGCTCTTCATTCGTGAGCGCCGATGACCGATGATGCTCGCAACCATCCCACGCCCTTGCTG